TCTGATAGGAACGCCCTGATCCAGCGAAGGATTTTCCCTTGAATCCCGTAAGATTCGAGTTTGTGGAGCAGCGGGACGTGTGGGGCTCTATCAAATGCTTTTGAGAAGTCAAAAAAGGTGGCATCCGATATGAGTCCTTCGTCCTTGGGTTGGGTTAAGCTGTCCATAAACACGAGCACGTTTGTCACGCGAGAGCGGTTAGGGAGAAATCCCTGTTGAACTGGAGATATCAGGTTGCTGGAAGGAAGGTGATCTAGTATAGCTCACTTCAGAATGCGTTCCACCACCATGCAAGGCACGTTAGTAAGGCTTATGGGCCTAGAGCTGACAGGCGATAGTCGGTCACCAGTCTTGTAGATTGGCTCGGCAATCGCTTCCTTCCAAGCAGAGGGAAGGCCGCCTTCGTCAGGGGACTGACGAAACACCATGTGTAAATGGTTTGCCAGTGTGGAGGACGTTGCTTTCAGGATCCTTGGATGGACCTCGCCGTGCCCCAACGCTCAGAATGGGTTGATCATGTGCAAGAGTTGACGAATGTCCTCCAATGTGAAGACCAAGTCGGTTAGAGGCTGCTCGTAGTTACGCCTTGACAAGAATGGATGTGACGAGGACGCTGTGGCTGAGTATACACACGCATAGTGTTCTCTGTAAACCTTAGATAGCACTGTTTTGGTCACCACTCGGTTCTCCGTTTCTGTCTCTAAAGGGGAACGCAGATGGCTTGTTTCCGCGGCGCTGTCTCATGTACTTGAACAGTGAGTTTTCGTTTCTTCCAGCGAGGTCCAAGATGGTGGCTTGTTTTCGTGTGTTCTATTGGCGAACTTCCGATTTACAGCGGTTCCGCATTTTACGAGATGCCAGCTCATCTTTTATGTCCCGCCGAGAAGGAGAGAATCGGACACGCGCAGCGGGATTCGGGCCCACAGTGCATCGCAAAAGGGTCCAGGGGTGGTATCAGAGAGGGAATCGGGATTGGTAGGGCCGCATGTAAGTACAGAGCAACCCCACCAACCCTCCCTCGTTTTGAGTCGGCTCCTCCGAGGGTGAGGAGCCGAAAGTTGAGTGATCGAGGTGGTTGGCAGACTTAATAGTTTCGCGCCGGGCTTGAGTCCAAGGCTCAAACGGGTCCTCTGGGGCAATGTCGCCTGCTTCCTTACTTCGTGGTTTGTGAGGATGCTTTTCGCTTGTGAGGTTTTTTTCGTTCCGTGAGAGCCCGGATTGCTCGAGCCTTTTAGCGTTGAGGGACAGAGTTTTTTCCCCATGTGCGAAAATTTCGACCCTTGCTGCTTGTAGCTCTTTCAGTACCACCGTTTTGTCGACCAGATTTGCTTTTGATCACAGATTTGCGGCAAGCTTTCAACTTCCTGGACTCTGGTGTTTTGGCGCGATTTGGCCGGAAAAAAGTCTCTGAGGCGCTGAGCGCTGGGTGGCGGCACCAAGAATTAATATTTTGGTGGCGCTCCCAAGAGGCTCATTTTCGCGGACGACCGCACCTCGCTCGTGTTCATGGATAGCTTCACCCAAGCCAAAAACGAAGGACTCATATCGGATGCCATATTTTTCGACTTCTCGAAAGCATATGATAGAGTCTCGCGATGCTTGATCTCTGTTCCATGGAGTACCATCGCCTCCGAGGAGACCTAATTCTTACTTGTGCCCTGTTTGAACAAAGCTCGGCAAACGGGTTTTTCACCGTTGACCCAGCAAACACACGGCGGGGACATAACAAGAAGATTTTCAAGCTCAGAGCACACACATTCATTAGACAAATTTTTTCTCATCTCGGGTAGTAGCTGCGTGGAATGACCTTCCTCAGACGGTTGTTCACGCTCCTTCTAGAACCCAGTTTAAAGCACTATTAGATACTTATCTGTGCGAATCCTCGCGCTGGCAAGCATACTGTCCCGCGCTGAGAACATAAAGAGCAGTGCTACACCTTTTTTCAATTGTGCCTTTCAGGTGAACGACAGCCACTGACCGACAAGAACAAAAGCGTCCTGGGAGGCTTGGGCAATAGTCTCGCTCCTGTGTATCAATCCGTGACTCCGTGAATCCGTGATGCCAGCCAGCAGTTTTCTAATCTGGCGCATTTTATGTGGCTTTGGCTGGAGTCGCTCTTCTTTCGTGTTTGTGGGGACGCTCGATCCGCGGGCGATTGGCGTGGCCAGCTGGATGTACGTGGGATTTTCCTATTGGCTGTATTCATGTTTATGACTTTGGTTGTCGGAGTCCTGGGCAACGGTTTCGTCCACAACTTTATAGCCGCTTTTGACGGAGTGGAGGAGGGTTTTGCTTCGCTGCTTGTCCCCGCGCATCTGACTCAGTCAGGTTCAGAGGCTGTTGCTCTGGTGAGGAGTGCATGGCTGCACATGTGTTGTCTGTTACGGGGATAAGCGTTGATATCTCTACGTACTTTGGGCGCTGCTTGCATGTGAGGTTCATCTCCTCCAATGCATCACTGTCTTTGGTGGGCGAGAGGCCTGTGGTGATCGAATAAATGCTGCTGTCCGGGGCCGCGGCTGGTTTCGTTGGCCTTCTTTCGGAAGCACAAGTATTTAGGACCACAAGCGCCTTGGTCATGAGTTTGAGGTCGTCTTAATTGGTGCTCAGCGGAAGCTTGATTCGTGCATCTACCCGTGATCAGCTGTGGCCAAGCTTTCGCGCGTCTTAAGGGCGATCCTCAGATAGACGCCTGATCATTGTGTTGGCCTTCTGAATGCTGCCAGCCCGCTCCAAGATCTTCTGTACGGCGGGTGGGGGATAAAGAGTGACTAGACGCCCAAGAGTTCGCTTGCTTCCCTTCTGGCGTAGCCATTCTGCGTGGAGCGATTTATCAAGCTTGGTGAAGACACACCTAAGGATCGATTGTGCCAGCTTCACTGGCGTGATTTTCCGGAGAATAAACCCCAGATTATCAATCGGTTCTCCCTTAAGCTTTTGTCCACTAGGGACACTGGGCGAGTGAATTGTTTTATCTGCTGGAGAACGGTTCTTTTAATGCACAAAAGTGTTACTTAATTTTTGATCCGAATACTGACGTGAAGCATCATCGTTTTATCTGCTGGAGA